TGACTTGAATATGTAGTAAAAAAATTTTATAAGGCAGATGCACTTAAAAATCCCACCGTAAAAGCTAGTTTCGTGTTCAGTCTTTCAGAGATAACACGGAGATTTGAGTACGTCTATAATTTGTTGTGGTTTTCAATTTTCAAAAATATTTCCTGGTTATCGAAAGAAGAAACATTTCTGTAAATTGATAGTGTTAGGATTGTGGCTTTTGCTTAAAATTTTTGAAGTTCTCTGGTATTTTACAACATAGTAGTTTTCAATTTAAAAATTATGTTACTTAAAGTCATATGTCACAGAATGATTATTGTACTTTAGCTATTAAAGATGATTTATTTAAAGGATGTTGACATGTGTGCTTACAGTGAAGAAAATCTAAAATCCATTGTACCTATTACCAAACTGAAAAGTAAGGCACCACACTGGACAAATCGAATACTTCATGAATACAAGGTAAGCTGTTTAATAGAAATAAACAGGCATTTTATAGCCTAGTTGAAATTTTGTTAGTATTATTAATATTTTAAACATAAATTTATAGTCATGAAATTAAAAATGGATCTTCTTGATCACAATGCCTGAAATTGAAAGTAGGAAGATATTTTTCCTGAATACCTTCTATATGCTGAATACCTTCTATGTGCTGAATGCTGTGATAAGGGCTAAAGATGAAAATTTGACATAATATAATATCACTACCCATGAGGCACTTAAAACCTAGTAGAATAGACAATATTTTTAGATCCTGATTTTTTTTTTAATATTAAGATCACAAGAGAAAAAATACTCTTGATATAATATGCCATAAATTTATTTTTCTGTAGGGGTAGCCTTGATTTTAGAAACTGTTTAGTTGACCTATATGGATTATCAAAGTTGTGTTCTCCTTTCACAATCTCCTTTCATAATCTCTTTGTATTTTTATTTTACCATATTTGTTTTTAGAATCTTAGTACAAGTGAGGGTGTCAGTAAAGAAATGCATCACCTTCAGCGCATGTTCTTACAGAATTGTTGGGAAATTCCTACATATGGAGCAGCATTTTTCACAGGACAGATATTTACAAAGGCAAGCCCCAGCAATCATAAAGTCATCCCTGTGTATGTAGGAGTGAATATAAAAGGACTTCATCTCCTCAACATGGAAACTAAGGTACATTTTCAGTGCTTTTTCACCAGTTAGATCATATAATATCTAAAACAACGGTGAAGAATCTAGAAGTGGCATATACGAAACTAATGAGGGGGAAAACTAAATGACTATCTGTAGGGTGTTAACATACTACATTTCTACTTTGGGATATCTTTCAGCCATGCAAAAGAATAAAGAATATTTTTGTGTAGAACCATCTCCAAGATATATTTAGTGAAAAAGTAAGGTGCTGAAACATACGTAACGTGCCACCATTTGTATAAAAATGGGAGGAAGTGAAGACTATTTTTACATAAGTACATGTTGCTTGTGGGTGCATAAAATACTTGAAACCTTTAGAGAAGGGAACCAGGAAACTGGGAACAGGAGTTAGGAGGAAGACTTTTCACTATATACCTATCTTAGCTCAGGCTGCTATTACAAAGTACCATAGACTGGTTGGCTTATAGATAAAAGAAGTTTATTTCTCACAGTCTGGATGCACGAAGTTTGAGATCAAAGCGCTAACATGGTCAGGTTCTGATGGGGGCCTTCTGGGTTGCAGACTGCTAACATTTTGTATCCTCACGTGACAGAAAGAATTAGGCCGGGCGCGGTGGCTCACGCCTGTAATCCTAGCACTCTGGGAGGCCGAGGCGGGCGGATCGTTTGAGCTCAGGAGTTCGAGACCAGCCTGAGCAAGAGCGAGACCCCGTCTCTACCAAAAATAGAAAGAAATTAATTGGACAGCTAAAAATATATACAAAAAATCAGCCGGGCATGGTGACGCATGCCTGTAGTCCCAGCTACTCGGGAGGCTGAGGCAGTAGGATTGCTTGAGCCCAGGAGTTTGAGGTTGCTGTGAGCTAGGCTGACGCCACGGCACTCTAGCCCAGGCAACACAGTGAGACTCTGTCTCAAAAAAAAAAAAAAAAAACCAATATTATTTCTTCCAATCCATGAGCATGGAATGTCTTTCCATTTGTTTGTGTCTTCTTCAAGTTCTTTTATTAGTTTTTTGTAGTTTTTGTTATGGAGATCTTTTACCTCCTTAGTTAAATTTATTCCTAGGTATTTTTTTTTAGTGGTTATTGTAATTGGGGTTGCTTTCCTGATTTCTTTTTCAGCTAGTTCATTATTGGTGTATAGAAATGCTACTGATTTCCGTATGTTGATTTTGTATCCTGCAACTTTACTAAATTTGTTTATCAGTTATAGTAGTTTTTGTTAGAGTATTTAAGTTTTTCTATATATAAGATAGTGTCATTTGCAAAGAGGGACAGTTTGACTCCCTCTTTTCCAATTTGGATGCTTTTTCTTTCTCTTGCCTGATTGCTCTGGCTAGGACTTCCATTCTATGTTGAATAGGAGTGGTAAAAGTGGGCATTTTTGTCTTGTTCCAGTTCTTAGAGAAAAGACTTTTAGCTTTTTCCCATTAAGTATGATGTTAGCTGTGGGTTTGTCATACATAGCCTTTATTACATTGAGGTATGTTCCTTCTATGCCTAATTTGTTGAGAGTTTTCATTATGAAGTGATGTTAAATTTTATCAAATGCTTTTCGTGCATCTCTTGAAATGATCGTGTTTTCTGTCCTTCATTATGTTGATGTGACATATCACATGTATTGATTTGCATATGTTGAACCATCCTTGCATCTCTGGGATAAATCCCACTTCGTAGTATATTATTTTTTTGATGTGCTATGGATTCAATTTGCTAGTATATTGTTGAGGATTTTTGCATCTCTCTTCATCAGGGATATTAGTCTGTTGCTTTCCCTTTTTGTTGTGTTCTTGTCTGGTTTTTGGTATCAGGGTAATGATAGCCTTATAGAATGAGTTAGGAAGAATTCTTCACTCTTCAATTTTTTAGAATAGTTTGAGAAGAATTGGTGTTAGCTCTTCTTTATAAGTTTGGTAGAATTCAGCAGTAAAGCCATCTGGTCCTGGGCTTTTCTTTGTTGAGAGACTTTTTATTACTGATTCAATCTTGTTACTTGTTATTGGTTGGTTGAGGTTTTCTAGTTCTTCCTGGTTCAATCTTGGTATTAGTAGGTTGTACGGGTCCAGGAATTTATCTTTTTCTTCTAGGTTATCCAATTTGTTGGCATATAATTATTCATAATAGTCTCTAATGATCCTTTGTATTTCTGTGGTATCAGTTTCAATATCTCCTTTTTCATTTCAGATTTTATTTATTTGGGTCTTCTGTTTTTCCTGGTTAGTGTAGCTAACAGTTTATTGATTTTTGTCTTTTAAAAAAACCAACTTTTTGTTTTGTTGATCTTTGTTTTTGTTTTGTTTTGTTTTTTTAGTTTCTATTTCATTTAGTTCTGGTCTGATTTTTATTTCTTTCCTTCTAATTTAGGGTTTGGTTTGTTCTTGCTTTTCTAGTTCCTTGAGGTGCATTGTTAAGCTCTTTATTTCAGATCTTTCTATTTTTTTTTGATGTAGGCATTTATTGTTATAAACTTCCCTCTTAGCACTGCCTTTGCTATATCCCATAAGTTTTTGTGTGTTGTGTTTTCATTTTCAATTGTTTCAAGAAATTTTTTTATATCCTTCTTAATTTCTTCATCAACCCAATGGTTGTTCAGGAGCATGTTGTTTAATTTCCATATATTTGTACATTTTGCAAAATTCCTTTTGTTATTGATTTCTGGCTTTATTCGATTTTGGTCTGAGAAGATAATTGATATGATTTTGATTTTTAAAAATTAGTTGGGACTTGTTTTGTGGCCTAACATATGGTCTATCCTGGAGAATGTTCCATGTGTTAATTGACAAATGTGTATTCTACACCTGATGGATGAAATGTTCTGTAAATATGTTACATCTATTTGGTTTAAAGTGTAGTTTAATTCCAATGTTTCTTTGTTGATCATCTGCCTAGATGATCTTTCCAAAGCTGAGAGTGGGGCGTTGAAATCCCCAACAATTATATTTTATTGGAATCTCTCTCTAGGTGCTCAGATGTTGGGTAGATATGTATTTAGAAATTTTATAACCTCTTGCTGAATTGATCCCTTTCAAATTATATAATGACCCCTTTTGTCTCTTTTTACAGTTTTCAACTTTAAGTCTGTTTTATCCAATATCCAATGGCTATTTCTGCTCTCTTTTGATCTCTGTTTGTGTGGAATATCTTTTCAGTCCCTTCACTTTTATCTGACATGTGTCTTTACAGGTGAAATGAATTTTTTGTCAACAGTATGTTAGTTGGGTCATGTGTTTCTAATCCGTTCAGCCAGTCTGTATCTTTTAAGTGGGGAATTTAATCCATTCACATTCAAGGTTATTATTGATATGTGAGGTCTTATGCCTGTCATTTTATTAATTGTTTTCTGGTTGTTTCATGTATCTTTTGCTCCTTTCTTACCCTCTTATTGCTTATCATTGCTTATCATTGGTGGTTGGTAATGATAACTTTTGACTCCTTTCTCTTTTCCTTTGTGTGTCTGCTTTTTCAGTGAGTTTTATACTTTGTTATCTTTTTACTTCCAGAAAAAGGACTCCCTTAATAATTTCTTCTGGGGCCACTCTAATGGTGATGAATTCCCTTGGTTTTTGCTTATCTAAAAAGACTTACATTTCTCCTTTGTTTTGAAGGATAGTTTTGCTGCATATAGTATTCTTGGCTGCAATTTTTTTTTTCCTTTCAACAGTTTGAATATTTCATCCCATTCTTTCCTGGCCTGCCTGGTTTCTTCTGAGAAATCTGCTGTTAGTCTGATGGGGATTCCCTTATGTGTGACTTTATGCTCTTCCTTTTTTTATAATTCTCTTTTTGTCTTTGACGTTAGTGTGCCTTGGAAATGACCTTTTTAGGTTGAATCTGTTTAGGGATCTTTAGCTTCATGTATCTTGATGTCTGTATCTCTTAAGACTTGGGAAGTTTTCAATTATTATTTCATTAAGTAGATATCTATGCCTATGCCCATGTCTTTTCCTTCTTAAAAATTCCAGAATTCTAACATTTGGTTGCTTGATGGGTATCCCATATGTCATGTAGGCTTTCTTCATTCTTTTTTATTTCATTTTTTTGTCTCACTGGGTTATTTCAAAAGACCTGTCTTTAAGCTCAGAACAACTTTCTTCTGCTTATAACCACTTTTCTATTTTTCTTGTACTGTTTGCTAAAGGAAATGAAGGAGAAATGCTCCCCACCATTTCAAGAAATTTTTCCTTTGCTATTTCAGAGCATTTTATACCAGCATCTACAAATCCTTTTTCATAGAACTAGATGGTGAGGCTGTGGATGTAATACTGTGCCATTTCTCTAAGCTGTATTTTGTTTGACTTTTGATAGCATTCCAAGTTTAGACAACAATACAAAGTTTTATATAGTATTCAAATGATGATTTATCAATATCTTTATAACATCTCATATTATGAATAATATTCTGGTCCAGGAGTTGAATAAATGAGATAGCAGTAGCAGGCAGAAGGATGATAGTAATATTATTAAATAGTGTGCTCTTTCAGGATAAGAGATTCAGTTTCTAGAACTATAAATAAAAATGCTATCCTTGGGTATATAAAAAGATGATTGAACCAAAGGGTAAAGATATTTTCTGTCCATCTAATCATTACCTTCTGCTCTGTAAGTCACTGATAAATTTATGGCACCTTTGAAAGCTCTAAGATGATTACATATTCCAGCCATCAAGCTGGAACAACCAGCTTGTCCTCGGTTGTCCCAGATTCACCAAGATCTACTAGGGTTGAATTTGACAAGCTTTGCTAAAATAAAGTAAACACATTCAACTGCAAAAATACCTCCAGTTGCATTTAAACTCTACATGGGGTATATCAGCCTCAGAGAATAATTCTCAAGAAAAGCCATAGGATACAGCTGTGTTTTTGTATCAATTACTTTTACTTTCTGTATCTCGTTTCTCTTTGAAATCATCAAAGATGCTCATGAGAAAACATAGCTCAGCCAATTATATATGCTCATCAGAGACTTTTCTACTTACATAAAATATAAACACTATTGAGTAGATAAATGCACTGTGTTGCAGCACAGTGTTTTACTATAGTGAGTGTGTTGCAGTCTTCACAACCGAATTGTACTTGTTAATATGTCTTCAACCTTCACCTACCACACTTGGGCAATAGACCGTCCTTTGCTGATGTCAATTTATGTTGATCCTAATGCCCTTCTGAGAGAACAGAATCCTGACCACGAAGACCACCAGGGAAACTTCTGAAGTGAAACTGGGTTGTTTAAACACCCACATAGTACCATTCTATATTACCAATTGTCAAATCACTATTTCTTCTGTCTGCTGGTCACCTGTGTGCTACTTCTGACTTCTGTGGGTTTTCCTTTTCTGCCCTCAACTACTCCTCTCAACTATTTCTCTTGTGATTTTTGACTTCCCTCATTAAGTACCTTGCCCACTGTAGGTTTTACCTCCTAATGAGAGCTGCATTTTCCTTCTGAAGCAAAGTGATTACTTAAAACCACTATGTGGATTCTTTGGCTCTTCCACTCCATTCAGCTGTTTTCATTATTTGTGTTTCTCAAAAATTCCTTCCTCACTGCACATTATCCTTAACAACCAAACTTTTATTTTTAACTATGGGCTCAGTACTTTTGTTGGAAATCTGACCTCCATATAATTGAAGAGTTCCTGTACCACAGATATATTTTTTTTCTGTATATCAAACTGTTTTTGAGGCCATATTAATGGACTGTTTTCTGGCTTTTAATTAAAGAAATTTCAGGTGATTGATCCAAAAAATAGGCAGTTTAAGGTAGTATGATATATTGACTCAGCATTTCAGTCTGTACCTTGATAAGTAGCTATTTTAGCATATCCTTTGTGTAGTTGTATTTTACAATATGAATGTAGATAGCTGATTTTTAAACAAAATGTTATTAGTTTTCTATTGTACATAATGTATACTCATGTAAATTAATTATAATCTTTCATTTGCAGAACCTCACTTTAAAAATGCCTTAACCCATTATCTTTTTGGCATATCTGTGGTTTATTACTTACTGTCAATATTAAAGAATTTCTACTTATAGAAAGCTAATGTTTCTAAACATATATATTTTAAAGGGTGGCGTGAACACTTACTTTATATATGTCTACACAAAAAATATATGCTTAGGGCAAGACAATGCAAGTTACTGCTGG